TTCAGAACACCACTGTTAAGCAACTATTTCGTTGCTTTTCACCGAGATTCATCATCATCATCATCATCATCAACAGCCTTAAATAGTCCACTGCTGGACTACAGCACAACATCATTATATGAGCTATTTAAAAACAATTAAAAACGCAACAGCTTTCGAAATTGTCAACTAAAAAATTAATGTTCTGCTACACTGATTCATGCTTGGGACTCAAAAAAATATTCATTTAGTTAAACTTTCAAAAGGCATTAAACAAAGTGTTTACTTACACAAAACATGAACGAGTAATTAGTATTCACATTGTGTACAGAGCGCACAAAGATTATACAGAATTCATAACAGGGAAAAAATTGAAGTGTTTGTATTTTTGCCAGGAGTAATGAAGAATAACACATTGTCTGAACTAATATATATAGCCAGATTGTTTATACAAAGTCGACAAAATATGATTGAACATTTGTTGTGATTGTTTGCATTCAATTTTTATAATATAAAGGGAAATACACATACGAGTCATCTGATGAAAAGTAGATAAAGGCTAAAAGGTAAGGGTGATCATATTTAAGCATCTATGAATGGGTTAAAAGGAATATGATTAAGATATAATGTCCCGTGACATTCACTTTTGACAGGTTTTGCACCAACAAGAAAAACAATATTAAAGAAACTGAGCCATGATTATTTACACGGCATCATCACACCACATCAACAGCCTTTAATAGTCCATTTCTGAACATAGGCCTCTCCTTAGAAAGGAGGTTTTGGCCTAATATACCACGCAAGCCAGATTCTCTCTGCAGTGCTGTTGTTCTGCGTAGTTTTTTCCCTTAGTCGGCTCTTACGACACCCACGGGATGAATAGGGGTGGTGACACTCCCTATTCTTAATCCGTCACCACATGGACCTCTTAGTCGAATAGGGCAGCCGAGTTTGCCTAGAACTTTAGAAAAATGATGAAAACCGATTTTATTGTATTTTATTCTATGAGCTATAAAAATAGCTGTGATTATTTTTATATTTTCTTATTAAAAATAATTAAAGAAATCATAAAAAATTGATCATGAACGATATAACTTTCAATTATTAAACCTGTATACGTTTTTCATTTCATTTACCTGTTTAAACAGCATCGAAAATAAGAACCATTCATAAAAAAAATACAAAAAATAAAAGCTTTTTATATCTTTATTTATTCAGTTCAAATTCAATTTCAAATCCAAAATCCAATAAAATTGAACACTAATATGAAAATACTAAACCGACCTTTCTAAGGAGAGGCCTATGTCTAGCAGTGGAATATTAATCTTTCTTAAAGAATTTCAACCATGTAAAAAATAAGCAAAATTTTCTAAACTTTCTCAAGTAGCAGGGAGTAAGCTTCCTGGTGTTCGTTTCTAACAAGGACAGCAGTCTCCAGTTTACTTCAACCAGGGCCTTATATATATTTATAAAAACAGACACCAACAGAAACAAAACAGAAACAAACTAGATACTTCTATATGACGCATGATTATCTTACTTCTACTATGAGGATATCCTTCCTAGGTTAATGTATCGTACATCTAAGTTACAAAATATTGCTTTAACAATGGAGGGCTGTTAACTGTTATGTTCTACTGCTATTTCACCATCAGCTCTGATTGATTTTACATGTTGGAACGAGCGTAAATTGTCGAACTAAGGAATTGTTCCTGTAGCTATTTGTGAGCTTGATTATGGCGCTTTCAGAGTTCACAGACTACTATTCATGTTACTGTGAGTGTTCTTTTCTTGACCTAATGTGTTATTTAGCTTAAATTTATGATATAACATAAACAATAATTAATTAAACTTAAAAAAAACTAAAAAATATACGCTTTTGTAGATAGCCGAACTAAAGGTTCTATAAGTTCAAAATGAAAAATCATTTTATCGTAAAAAATGTTTTTTTTATTAAAAGTTTATTTTTCCTGTTTTATTAATTAGTGATAATTTTTATCTTAATAAGTGTGGTGACGGATTAAGAATACGGAACGTCACCACCCCTATTCATCCCGTGGGTGTCGTAAGAGCCGACTAAGGGAGCAAACTACGCAGGACAACAGCACTGAAACGAGAAGGAAAACTTGAAAAAAACCCTAAACCAACCCGTCTGGCCAGCGTGGTATAGTAGGCTAAAACCTCCTTTCTAAGGAGAGGCCTATGTCCAGCAGTGGACTATTAAAGGCTGTTGATGATGATGATGAAGACTAAAAAGTAACAACTAATAAAGTGACAAAGTATCAACTGCACGTGGGAGAGCCATGCTTCGGCACGAATGGGCCGACTCGACCGGAGTGATACCACGGCCTCACAGAAAACTGGTGTTAAGCAATTCTTTCGTTGCCTTTCACTGAGTGAGTGAGGTTACCGCAGCCCAAATCCCCCCTCCCGCTGACTTGAGCAGGACTCCAAGGGCGGCAACGCACTTGTGACTTTTGAGTTGCAGGTGTCCATGGGCGCGGGAGTTGCTTGCCATCAGGTGTCCCGTCTGCTCGTTTGCCCCCTTATACCATACAAAAAACAAGTAATTATATCACACATGCTTTAGCACATGCCTTAGTACGTGGCAAAAGACTCTACCGTATTTTTAGGTATGAAAAAAGCCGTGAATCCTGAAGGTCCTGATTAGGGTAATAGGACAAACAATTTTTCATTATTGCATTGTCATCGGTCCTTGATAAGTTTACAATGTTTTAATTTAATTGGATGTTTTGAAGTGTGTCAAAATTACGGTGGAAGATTCCGTCACACATACCACGCTAATAATAGCGAGTTAATAAATACTAAACACTTTATTTGTTTTCAAAAACAATCATGGTTATTTGGGCAAAAAAAAAACTGGCAAGCAGACTGGTCATCTGAATATAAGTACCTACCACTGCCCATGGACATCTGCGACTCCAGAGTCAACTTTGAGTCCCCCCCTCACTAGAGTCAGGGAAGGAAGCGTTGGTCTCCGGTAACCTTACACTCTGTGGAAAGCAACGAAAGAACACCGGTTTTCTGTGAGGCCGTGATATGACTCCGGTCGAGAGAGCCTATTTGTTCCTGTTGGGGTGTTAAAGTTCAGTTTTGCTTGACTAAAGGATTACTTCAACTGAAATACGTATTGTCACTGCAAATGTTTATTGTAGAATGATCGATGAACGTTTTAAACCTTTCGCACATAGTCATACATAACCAAACATGATGCCCACCAAAAACCAACAGTTTTTTCTTAAAGTTAAACATATAATTAAGTTTACTCGTCGTTTATTTGACGACCGGATGGCGTGGTGGTTTGTGTAACCTACTGCTATTCCAAAGGTCGCGGGTTCGATTCCCGCTCAAGTCAAACGTTTGTGTGCATGAACATTTAATGTTTGATTTGGTCTGGGTGTTTCTATGTATAATATGTATATATTTACAAAAAAAAAGTATATATGTATTTATATCAGTTGTCTAGTACCCATAGTACAAGCTCTGCTTAGTTTGGGACTAGATGGCGTTGTGTGAATGTGGTAGATTATTATTATTTATTTATTATTTATTTTACAATATACAGTTTTTAAAATTTTGACATTTATCTTTGAGTACCAAATTTCATTAAGTATACAAATGCATTATTAATTGATTGATAAAACAGCGCAAATTATATCAGACTTGCAAAGATTCATGGGATCTACCTTTAAATTTAAAATTACATACTGGGCAAACATAATATAAACAATGTTATTATTTTCTAAATCAAATAAATTAACATCTTATATTTACTTACTTACTATTTACTTGTATAATAAAGATGCTTTCTAAATACGCATATATTAATATTTCTATCTATATAATAACTGATAAGGATATAAAGTAATAACACCACTATTGTATTTCTGATTTAAATGCAATATACAGTAATACTTTACACTAATACAATTAACTCTTAATTATAAGTAAGTACGACTCACCACTTTGATCGTCCCAACTCGACTGCCTCGCTCTCCATTCTATTTTTTTCTCACCCTCTTGCAATGCCATGTTAAAAATATTATTCTTATGTAGACTATAATCGATTAATCAGGGAAGTCGATGACTCAAGTGACGGCACTGCCTGTGTAAACATTTAAATACTAACATATTTAAAAAGAAACATTTTAAAGAATTTTTTACCTAACCTTACACGTGCATGGCACAGAATATACTTATAACTTCTTTAGTGAACATAAAAAAATGAAATTACAATAAATAAAAATAAATACTTAAATTATACTAAATATTTAATTATACCTTATCATTTACAGGTAATTCATATAATTTTGAAATCGGTCTCTTTATAATTTTGTTGTAACCACTTTGGTCGCTGTTGTATTCTGGATAAATACTCGGCTTGCCAGCGTTTCCAGAAATGTTGAACAAGTTGTTGAGTATACTGCATTCTGGTCAATAGGTACATATATGTACATTTAGATACATTTAGATTTGTTAAAGCGGGTTCAGGAATAGTTATGAGGACATAGTGGTCGTTTTTTTAAGCACAATTCGATTTGACATAAGATGGTGGGCATGTCTTCAAAGGTAAGGTTATGATTGAGAATTATTTTAAGGTGGTATTTCACAGATTTAACGCCCGCTTCCCATAGGCCTCCAAAATTCAGACTGTAAAGAGGATTGAAATGCCACTGAGTTCCTTCTTCCGCGAGTAGACCAGTTAAGTCACCAGGAATGTCTAAGTTTGCCGCACGCCAGAGATCAAGTACCACCAACCAATTGTGTTCTGTACTTTGCCCTCTGTCTTGCACAAATAATGCACCTGTGCGATTAAGTGGTTACTAGAGACTACGCGGATGATCCAAAAGTGTGTTCGTGGGTAATTTATCATTAATTGAATGCCTCCGTGCAAGGTTTTGTTATGTGCTCAGCCAACCCTCTGCAGTCACAACTTCTGTGTTAATTGTTTACCAGGTACCAGTGCAGAGGTCAACCGACCAAGAGAATCAAGATAAGCCATGCTATTGACTGGTATATCAATCCTTTTTAAGTACCTGTTTTCGTTCTGTGTAAAATGTTTCATAAACTCTGTACTGTTTGAAGACCATTTTTGAACATTAGAACCCCCTCTTTTCAGTATACAGTAGGTGGCCAAATTATTAGGGACAGTATCGAAATTTTTGAATTTCCTAGTTTAATTGGATTTCTGTAAGAAACGATTAGTTGTAGGTCTCTTATATATTTTTTCTTTGTATCTGTATTCTATAAGGATCACAAAAACTACAAAAAAAATATACAAAACTGATTTATATTCTTCGTATGAGTATTATCAATATTGGTAAAAATAAATAAAATATTTTTTTATATTTAGTGATGCCACCCTTTGCTGCAATAAGTGCTTCTATGCGTCGGGGCATGCTCTCAATACATTTTTTTGCATTTTCCTGGAGTTTGGAGTTGTGATGCCATTCTCTGATGAGAGTTTCAATCAATTGTCGCTTAGTGGTAATCACTTCTTTTTGCGATCGCCCGTTTTGGTGAGTTCCCACATGTTTTCTATTGGATTCATGTCTGGTGAATTCCCTGGCAAAGGCAAAACAGAGACATTTTTTTCAGCCAAAATGCAGTCACACTTCTGGCTTTGTGGCACGGTGCTGAGTCATGCATAAAATGTATTCGTCATCATCAGGGAACAATTCATTGAACTGCGGCAATAATCGCGTTTCTAGTACTCTCTTGTATTGGTCTTGTTTCATAGTCCCTTCCACAATGTATAGGCGTCCCATGCCTTTGGCTAAGATGACAGACCACACCATGACACTAACCGGGTGTTTAATCTTCTCTACAAGGCAATCAGCGTGAAATTTCTCACTAGGACGTCGTCTTATAAAATAACTATTGTCAACCAAAATTTGGAAGGTAGGTTCGTCGGAAAACACACCTGTAATTGATAGAATGAATAGTAGAATAAGTAAATAAATTGTTATTGACCAATTGCATTATACAAAATAGTTGCACTTACTCGACTCCAGTCTGCAATAGTCATAGATCGATGTTGCCTAGCCCATTGGAGTCGTTTCTTTTTCATACTATCGGTTAGGCGTGGTTTTTTGGCAGGCCGCACTTCCATGAGATTCTTTTCGACCAACCGCCTCCGCATTGTCCTCTCTGAAATCTTTATGCCCTCTTCGTTTATCATAGTTGTTAAACGAGCAACGCCCTTTTTACGGTTTTCGAGGCAGATGTTCCTGATTTTTCAATCGGTACGAGCTGTTGTAATCCTTTTCCTGCCACATTTGCCCGCACGATTTGCTTCAAGAGGCTTTTTATTGTCAATTTTTATTTTTATTCGATTGACGACAGACTTTGAAACCCCAGCAATAGCTGCTATGTCTCTCTGAGAATGTGTGGAGTGCAGTAACAACGTTTGTATCTCTCTACATTTTCTTGGAGACGTGTCCAAAGTCCTACCCATCCTAAGAAGCTTATAATTTTGGGTTAAACGTGTTGAACCATTAATAAAATGTAACTCATATGACAAAACGTAGCAAAACTATTCTTATACGGAGCATTACTTACCTTTTGATTAATTAAGACACAAAAGTCGGTTAAAACTAATGAAAAAATAATACCTAGACAATACAACAATAATACCGAAAACCGCGCTTTTTACGGGCAAAGAAGAAACGTCACACAATTGATAAAAAACGCACGTATTCTGTGTTGCCATTTGACAAAAACAATAATAATGATACCAGTAAATATATCAGATACAATAAACCGCTTAAAACAAACATCATTTATTCAAAAAAATATAATAAACTATAAATTACATAATACGAGCACTGTCCCTATTAATTTGGCCACCTATGGTACTTGCAACCCAGGACGCTGTATCTATAGCTTCTAAAGCTGAATCATTCCCGGACAACAAATCATCCATAAAGAAATCTTCTATAATAGTTTCAGCAGCAAGGGGGTACTCGCCACCCTCATCTTCAGCGACTTGTCTCAGAGTCTTAATAGCAAGATAAAGAGCGGCAGTAGTGCCAAATGTGCCACGTAAACAGATGATAATCCTTGATGCGGCCGTTTTTTTCTCTTCTCCACAGAATTCTTTGTGATAATCAGCATCTTCCTTTGAGACTAGAATCTGACGGAATTTTTTTCGATGTTTGCCACATATGCTACTCTTCTTAGCCGTCATATCATGACTAAAGGTAACGTATATCGTCTTGTAGTGTGGTCCACATGTCTTTGTTGAGCGAAACATTGTAAGTATCTAAAGCGGACGCCATTAAAACACCATTTCGGACTTTTGTCGTCTCGCTCGATTCTTAATCACATCATGGTGTGGTAAATAAACACTTGGATTGTTTATTTCATTTACAGGTACCTCTTCCAAATGATTGAGGTTAATATATTCTCCTATCACCTTTCTGTATTCTGTTTTTAATTTGTTATTTCTTTCAAACCGTTTTTCTAATTGTAATAATATTTGCAATGCTATTTTGTCATGTGTTTCCTTTCAGAATATCGGTATTTTCAGTCTTAAAGGGCAGCTTCACTATATATCTACCATTTTCATTTCTACTATGTGTTTCTTTATAAATTGTTTCGCATTTTTCTTGAGTCAACCTTTTCTTGTCTTCTGTTTCTAATTCCCACAAAGTTTGTAAGAGATGCTCGATATTGAATTGATGATGCATGACTATGATTGCTTCTGAATTATCTGCCTGAACGTTGCCGAAAAGGATCCAACCTAAACTTGTCTTCTGTGCACACGGAGAGCCAGGTTAAAAAAAAGGGGTTGGTTAAAAGCACCCGTAACCGGCGAGCGTTTATGACAGGTCTGAATATTGAGATGCCCATCGAGTGGCCATTGGCATCGGTATAAATATCGGTAGTCTACACTAACTCAGTGTCTTTACAGTGGCGATGGAATGGCAGTGGCTCATCAGTGGTGATATCAAAAAGATTGCCATATTTGGTAAAATTAATAAATCATTTCCTTATAATTTGAAAATATATTACATTTTCTTGAGCATCTCAATAGCGTGTCAGTGGTATGACAGTGGCTTGGCGTGAACATAAAATAGCAGAATTGAGGCCCTGTATGTCAGGATCTTAACAAATGGCGCTCTAATATCTCTGCTTATCTTTTTTTTGACGGGTGGAAAATTCCTTTGGATCTCTGGGTCCTTGGGGATGCAGGATCCAGGAATATGTGGTGTTTCCACTAAAATCCACCCCGAGGCCGGTTTCAGGTGTCCTATTTCGAGGAGGACCTGGATCAGGTTATTTTAGGTCCCCTCCGGATCGACGCCGCGCCTAGTAAAGCCCTATCCCGCTGAATCCCAATCACCCTGGAAGTTATGAATGTTTATATGTAAAATTTACAAAATATGTATTTTTTTTATCTTCGTTTGCATTTATTTTGTACCGGTGCTTATATTTGGCGATTGCACATTGTTTACTAGTCAGGAAACTGTTACGTAGAAACCTGTTGTGTTATTTTTAGTATTAACAGAGATTCACTGTGTAGTATATAAGGTGAATCAGTTTGAAAGAAACACATAACTTAAAGGAGTAGCAGTGAGCCCTCATAGTGAGTAAATTGTATTTTATCTATTATAAAATATTACTATGGAATATTTGGACTTGGTTTTAGAATGTTTGAAATGTATGTTGTGCTTGTGCGTACTTGTGCTTGAATAATAAAACGTGACGTGGTTTCGAAAACTTAAATTTAATCTGATAGGAACAATAAAAGTTAAAAAAAAATAACTTCATTTCTTCATTACCTTGTCTCAAAAGAAATGACATCTGTCTATATTCATTAAAAAAGATTTTTTATTTTATTTTAGAGGGGGCAGACTAGGCAAACATTAATAATAAAAATATAGCCGTTTATTCCATAACCCTTAATTTTACATTTCATCCGTTGTTAATATTTTTATAGATGTACTTAATATCTAGTGTTAGTTATAGTTAAAAGCAGTTACATTAAATCTAATTAATCTAGGGTATGTACCCCATTTTGGGTATAGGCCTCCTACAACCTATTCCACCTTTCTCTATCCTTGCCCTGGTTTATTCAGTCTCTCCTCGCACAAACGCAATGTCGTCTGTCCATCGCTGTTTTGGTCAGCCGGCTTTTCTTTCTCCTGATGGTCCTTTCCATTTGGTGGTCTCTATTGTTCACCTTCTATCTGAGCAGCGTGCGATGTGACCAGCCCATTTCCATGTTATTGTTAGTGCATGTATCAGTGCATCCGCAATCTTTGTTTTCTGTATTATCTCTTCGCTTCGAACTTTATCTATTTTTCTGATCTTTAGTATGCTTCTCTCCATTGCTATTTGTGTACTCTCTATTTTGTGTTTAACAATGACAACCGAATAAGAGACACGGCATTATACAGGTGTCCATCACAGTTTTGCTCATGTGTAGGCTATAGTTGCCTTTTAGTATTTCTTTAATCGATTTTAACATTATTCTTCTCGTTACTTCTTCTACGTTGCTGTTTGGATTAAATGAGACTTGTTTTCCTAATAATTATAATTGTCAACATAGTCTATTGGGTGTCCGTTTACCTGTATTGATCTTTTGTAACTGTTAGTCATCATTTTCTTCTTATTTGTGTTCATATGAAGTCCGACTTTTTTACTTTTCTGATCGAGTGCCGTTACCATTTGCTCTAAGTCGCTTTGCTAATGTCGTCGGCAAATCTTAAATGGCTAAGGTGCTTCCCATTTATTAGTATACCTTTTTGTGCCCAATTTATTTTGTTAAATATGTCTTGAAGAACCGCTATGAAAAGTTTTGGTGACAGCAGATCGCCCTGCTAAGGATTCTCCACTGGTCTCAAGTTTTACTTTGCTTGTACTGTTTTCATACATATTTCTTAATATATTGAGATATTTCTGGTCAATTTTAAGTGAGCTCACTGCCTTTCTTATGGAGTTGTGACTGATGCTGTCGAAGGCTTTGCTGTAATCTATGAACGTCATGTAGACGGGTCTGTTATATTGACTAAATTTTTCGATCATTTGTTCGATTGTCTGTATGTGATGGATGGTGCTGAAACACTAACTGTCACTAATTATAAATAAAATCTCCCTTGAAGTTGAAAATGGCATAGTTACATACTTGGTTTTATGCGTTATATTTTATGTATTGCTATTTAATACATAATATATCGTCATAATACTCTTTTTTTTTTCGTAGTGGACACCCAGGACAAGCAATTGTGTGATGATCACGATAATTTATTCTGTGTATGGGTGTAATTTATCTATAATATGTTTGTATTTAGAAATATAAATATGTTTATCATGTGCAGTGATGCATGTTATGGTGCAGTGGTAGTACATGCGACTGCTGTGCTGAGGTCTCGGGTTCGATTTCCGGGTCGGACCAACTGTTTGTATGATCTGCAAATATTTGTTTCGGAATTTGGGTATTTTCTATTTATAATATGTATATATTTACGAAAAACTGTATATAAGCATTCTATCGGTCAATCTAGCTTTCATAGTATGTATAAGTTCTGCACCGTAGTGATCCCACGCCCCCCCAGAAAACCGGTGTTAAGCAATTTTTTCGTTGCCTTTCACTGAGTGAGTGAGGTTACCGGAGCCAAAATCCCCCCTCCCGCTGACTCGAGCGGGAGGGACTCTAAGGGCAGCAACGCACTTGTGACTTTTGAGTTGCAGGTGTCCATGGGGGGGCGGTAGTTACGAGTAGAACGTACGAGTAGGTAGGTAGGTAGAGTAGAACGAGCAGACGGGTCACCATCAGGAGCCCGGTGCCCAGGTGCTCGTTTGCCCCCTTTTAACATATATTTAATTTTTGTTTTCAGAAACGCAGTGTAAAAACTCACCTTCAACAATAAATATGAAGACTTCAACAGCTATATTTGTCCTAGGCATGATTGTCGCCTGCGCTATCATCTCCACTGACGCCGCCTGTCCAGGCTCCAAGTTCTTCAAGGCGCCTGCAACGCTCTTACCCAGGACTGCAATTACCACTGCACCGCAATCGAGCATGCCACGAGTGGCCAATGTGTGTACAAGTTCCCGTCCTACAGATGTACTTGTTGTAAATGAATACCTAATAACTTACTATTATTTGCGGTATTTTATGATGATGAAAATGATGATTCCTTATAATTTATAGTTTTAATAAATTAATCAAGTTTTAAATGTACTTTTATTAAGCATACACGTTTAGTCAACAAAAGTGACATGTGAAAGTGACATATCGTATTTTTGAATCATTACCATAAAAACCGGTTAGGTACGAGTCGAACTCGTGCGCCGAGGGTTCCGTACCTACCCAGATTTACGTAGATTTTCTTTTATTTAAGACTTAAATTATATGCAACTAGCTATAGCTCCCGGATTCGATCCTGTGATTATTTTTTATTTTGTGTTTCTAATTTTAAAGTGACTGACTTCAAAACAATCATTTATCCATTATTTTAAGGGCAAATGTCAACAAATGTCAACTTACGAGAAGTAAGTGAGGGAGAGCAATTAAATTAATCAATAAACGTAATTAATGGATGCTCCCGAATTATTAAGATAAAATACAGATTCCTGAAAAGTATATTGCATATAATACGTCATTCTAAAGAAAAAATTCAATTTTTATACCACCTGGTATTAGCTCTTCAGCCCAATTTTCATTTGACATGTCTGGACTAAGCGTTAATTAATAGCGTCGTCTGCCATTACTCTTGATGCGTGTGTTCTTTAGAGTTATGGTGGTGGACTGCAATGGCTGGCCGTTGTTGTTGACTCTCAGGACTGGGCAGTAAGTGCTGAAATGTGAAAACATTATGTCAGATGCATCCAATAGATAACTTAATCTACACTTATATTATAAAGCTGAAGACGTCTTTTGGTTGAATGCGCTATCTCAGAAACTACTAGTTGGAAATGAAAAATTTTTTTTGTCTTTAAAAGACATCATTATTAATATATATCCTGTGTGGCGGGGGACTTTACAAACATACATCTAACGGATACAAAGAACGTCCAGACCCAGAACAACAATTTGTGGATTACACAAAGTGATGTCCCCCTTAAGGGTAAAATTTTCAAAAATCCTTTTGTTGTAAAATTTCAAAAATCCTTTCTTAGTGGCTGCTCACAACATAAAAAGGTGCTGTCCAAATTTCAAGTTTATAGCCCTGGTCCCCTTTTTTTTTACGCCACCCACCCGCCACCCTATCGGGGTGTGGGTGTGTGTGTGCCCAGCAGTTTAGGTCCTGCGATGAGGAATCAATCAATCAGCCAGAACTTTTATATCCGTAGATTTGGTTATTATAGAACAAGCTCTGCCTGGTTTCGAACCTGATGGATGTGTGTAAGAATTGTCAAGTCATTCTTGTCAGTCTCCCTTTCTCAGTATTCTTGTTAGTTACACCAATTAGTTGCACATTAAGACCCACTTGTGAGCTACTTTAATAGAAACAAAAACGTGTGCATCTCGGGACGCCCGACAGAAGTAATAACTTAAACTAATCTAAGTTGAACTATTCAGTATTGAAATTGTTTTATAATCACGATGAAGTCTATGGTCCCTATTAGGTGTATAAAAACCAAGGTCTTGAGTCGAAACGATAAAAAAATAAAGGGCAAATTTAGATTTTCGCGAAAATTTGTAAGTACCTAAAATTATCTTATTTTCAACTTTTTCTAATTTTTGAGATTATTCCTTTATTTTTGCTGTAAGACGTTTCTTTTTGCCAAATTTCGTGATTCTAGGTCTACGCGAAATACCATATAGGTTTTCGACCCAAAACCTAATATACCATAGACAATTCAGTATCTGGTATTTTCAACTTGCTAGGTCTACCCGTTCCTGAGACAATCGGTGGTGACACACGGATGGACAAACACGAAAGTGATCTGTGATGCTCATACGCTTATTTGCACGGTACCTGTGCCTAAAAACTAGTTTAAATATTTTTTTATTATGTCTGTCTGTCTGTATGTTGTAATCTTATAAACAGCTAGACTGATTTTGATAATATTTTACTACCAGGTAGCTGTCTATATAAGGAGTAACTTAGGCTATTTTTAATCTATCTCTCAAAATTTTGCCCGTTGGGAATCGAACCCACTAAGGCAGCGCTTCTCAAATTCCACGCAAACGAGATCGGGGGACCATCTAGTTTTCATATTAAAATACGGATCGACTGCACGGATGGCGTAGTGGTTTAAGCGGTCGCCACGCCGCTTCCTACTACGCCGAGTGTTGTGGGTTCAAACCCCAGATGGGACGACACTTTGTGTGATCCACAAATTGTTGTTCTGAGTCTGGGTGTTCTTGGTATCCGTTTCATGTATGTTTGTAAGGTCCCCCGCGACACAGGATTTATTCCTAATGCGGGCGTTGTCTTTTAAAAAAAAAAGAGAAGAAATATGGGGTCTACCAATAAGAACGTCCTGGTTTAAAAATTGAATAAAATACTCATATTTTATGAAAAATGCATCCGATTATGCATCTTTGATAGATAATTTTATGCAATTTATGTTTTAAATAATATATCGGCCAAATGGCCGCCGCGGCTCTTTTTGCAGACGCTCACCCGCTCACGCCAATGTTCGATGACGCGTGCACCATTTCGGCCGGTATGTCGGCTATGGCTCGTCGAAGGTTGGTTTTTAGGTCACGAATTGTAGCTGGATTATTGCTGTACACTTTAGATTTAACGTAACCCCAACGAAAATAGTCTAAAGGTGTTAAATCACACGATCTTGGTGGCCAACTGATCGGTCCATTTCTCGAAATTAACGACTCACCATACTTTCCACGCAATAATTCCATGTTCACTCGAGTAATGTGAGGTAGTGCACCGTCTTGTTGAAGATAAAGGTCGTCTGCATCAATATCATCAAATTTCGGAAAGAAATATTCGGTTAACATCGAGTTATAGCGCTCGCCATTCACAGTAACAGGGTTTGCGTAATAATTTTGTACAATTTCCAAGCGTTGGTTTAAAGTGAAACGTGACATGATAAAATGGCAAAACCTTACTGAACACAAATGTCAAGAGACTTCAAAGATCCATCATCAAACATGGCCGCTATGAGCTGTCAAAACCAGGTCATCCAAATTGGTAGACCCAGTACATAGATGGTTTACACAACTGTAGACAGCGACCGACTTTTTTTTAAGGTAAAATTTCTTTGACTGGCGTGTGGTTCTAGTGGCTTGTGAAATTAACTGCTGGGCCAGAGCTTCTGGACTCATTTTACATCCAGGGACAATAATTTTGTTATGAGTCTTATTATTTGTCCTCAGTCTTAGTTTGATTTAAATTATATGCAACTTGCTATAGCTCCCGGATTCGCTCGTGTGATTATTTCTTATTTTGTGTTTCTTAAAAATGACTGACTTGAAAACAATCGTTTATCCCTTCTTTTACCCCCCTTTAACCTGCAGGTAGAGACATCGGAATGCAACAAAATAATTATGTAATGAAGATTAAGAACTACGCAGTTACCATTGATCCTGCATTGTTCAATGATACTCCTAGCATTGCTTAATACAACAATAAACGGCAAGTCGGGGATTAACGAAAATAGTATTCAAAAAATATTATTTATTACCTACCTTGATTCTGAACAATAAATGCAGCAAAAACATTGCTGAAGGATATTTCTTACATCAATAATAAGATAGAACATTTTTTAGACCTTTTAAATTCTGGTTTATCTTTCTTCTTGATACACAAACGAACTTTTTACATACATAATACCCCACCACCATACATACATAATAATAATACATACCCCCTAACGGGTAATTTTTTCAAAAATCATTTCTTAGTGGCTCCTTACAACATAAAAAGCACCAGCTGTCAACATTTCAAGTTTAGAGCCCTGGTCCCCTTTTTTTTACGTGTGGAAACCCCATCGGGCCGTCACCCCACCGGGATTTGCGGCGGGTGGTGTGTCGGAAGGCCCCGCGGTTAAGCCCTGCGTTGATGAATCAATCAATCAGCAAGAACTTTTATATCCGTAGATTTGGTTATGATAGAACAAGCTCTGCCTGGTATCGAACCAAATGGATGTCAGAATTGTCAAGTAATTCTTGTCACTCTCCCATTCTCAATATTCTTCTGCACCAATTAAGACTACCACATGTTAATAATAGAGCCCGACAGAAGTGATAACTTAAACTTTTAAAATTGTTTATTTTTTATAATCACTTTCAAAAACGGTAACAGTTTTAGGTTATATGTTCACTGTCAACAGTATATGTCTATCGCACACTAAGCACTAAGTAGAGAGAGGGGGAAGCGTCTGTCCGAAATACGGCTAACGCTGTGGGTTAGAGTGAGAGAGGAGGAGCCTGCCTACCGCTGCCGTATGCCTGAGAGAAAGGAAAGCCGTAACGCGTTACGTAACAAAGAGGTTTACCCTCCCATAAGAAGTTTTCACTTTTTTTATAAAATATGACTTCCTCACTAGCAATATGTCCTGTGTCGCGGGAGTCTTTACAATAGACACAAAGATCACCCAGACTGAGAACAATAAGTTGTGGATCACACAAAGTATAGTCACGCGGGGATCGAACCCACAACACTCAGCACAGCAGGAAACGGTGAGGTGACCACTTATTGTTTTTTATTGTTTTACAACAAATTAATTTGTAAACATGACGTTACAATCTGTCCCCCAAAAACCGGGTTGATGGTTTGACTGGAGGATCGAGTCTCCGTACATTTTTCTTATTTAACTCTTATTCAAGTAATTTTCTTAATTAATGCATTTCAAAACTATTACATTAGCCTATTACAATAAATCAAAAAAATACCTTTTAAGTTTCCTCTTAAATACTGCTTCGTCTGTTTTTCGTCTGATGTCCAACGGCAGACTATTGAGATAATAAGGCAATCGTTTTTTTTGAGTTCTGTCACCATAATAATTATGTACTCTTGGAACAGTATATCTGCCGTGGGTCACCGAGCGAGTGTTATATTCATTAGTGATTTCCCCCAAGTCATTCTCCCGACTGCCATGATTATTTACTAAGATTACTTATGTTTTAATGTAACTGGTAGAATTCTACATATTTTAAACAGTTTAGTGTAATCATTTTTATATTTTTCTTTAACGTTTTTGTTAACAAGTAATTTTATGAACCTAATTTGAATTGCTTCCAGTTTATCAATGTATGTATTGAATGTGAGACCATAGCAGTCGAGAGCATAAACGATTATTGAATCCACCAGTGACATCTATATACATCTTAATATGCTAATAGGAACCTTGAAACTCAAATGATAAAATTTATTTAATAATATTCTGAGTTTATCACATATATATTCTACATGGTGTAGCCATGAGAATTTATTGTCGATTTTCATGCCAAGGTAATTTACACAGATAGTTAATTCAATAGGTTTAAATTGACAATTTATTAATTTGTTATGAAAGCAGGAAAATTCATGGTATACAGCGATATAGGTTGGGTAGGGAATTGTGAGTAGGGCGAATGTATTACAAGTGATTTAGTTTTGTCGAAAGCTGTTATCGAAAAATATTAAAATTACTTGTTTCATATCTTCTAAGTAGTTGTTAATTTCATCAGAGAATTTTGAGAGCAACGTATTTGTACTGCTCCCTTTTATAAAACCAAGTTGACTGCTATGCTATAAAATTTTATTTTTAACTAGGTACTTATTTAATTGACTGACTACATTTCTCCATTTTTTAACGATACTTGACAATATAGCTATTGGCCTGTAATTAGAAACAATTTTAAAACTGCATTTCTATGGATTGCGCGAACTATTGATTCCTTTAATTGGTAGGGAATTTTGGCGTGTAGTACAGAGAGGTTAACCAGCTTCGCCAGTACAAGACTCACTTTATCAGTTTTAGATCGGACATGCGAATGAGATCACTACCTGGTGATTTGTTTTTCAGTGTATTCTGTGTGGTGACGGATTCCGTGTGGTGATGGATTAAGAATACAGAGTGCCACCACCCCTATTCATCCCGTGGGTGTCGTAAGAGGCGACTAAGGGAGAAAACTACGCAGGACAACAACGCTGCAGAGAGAAGGAAAACTTGAAACAAACCCTATACCAACCCGTCTGGCCAGCGTGGTATAGTAGGCCAAAACCTCCTTTCTAAGGGGAGGCCTATGTCCAGCAGTGGACTATTAAAGGCTGTTGATGATGATGATAATGATGATGATTTGTTGTTATCCATTCTTTTATTATATTTTTTATCTCGTTACAAGTAACAGGCTGCCATCTCATACACATTTCCGGTGATTTGACATAAGATTCTCTATTTAAAAATGTATTGTCGCACATGTGTTTTATGTCCTTATTTCTTGTGAAAAAGTGTTCGCGAATTGGTCACATTACCTAATGATTGTTTTGTATTACCCCGCATGTTGTTAATTTTTTCCCATAGCTTTTTGATATTATTTTTACATTCCAATTACAATACATTCTTTATCCTATTTGTTTCTACTTTTATTAATAGCTTTTTGACACTTATTTCTAAATTTGGTATAAGTATAAGTAATTAAGACGCTTTAGCATAGTCTTTGGTTCCTTACTCCAAATGTTGAACAATTTTTCTCTTTCTTTTAACATTTTCTTTAGGTTGCTGTTAATCCATATTTTATTTCTATTGCTGTGAACTTCTTTTCTGTTTTTGTAACATTCGCTATAAATTGAAACAAATCTCTGACTTAAATCGTTGTACAACTCAATAGGACATTCCAATGAGATTATGTCGTAAAAATTAATACATAATAATTTTTCACATAGGTACCTTATAATTTTCTAAAATTCGATTATTGTTTACCTCGACCGCAGGTGCAAAGACGCTCGTGCGCTTGCTTCTCAGCATATTGTCCACCCCGTACGTCTCTATTGCACTACAACTGCTGTTAAATAATGATCGGATATTTTATGTTTAATTACCGCAGAGTCTATAGACACATCAATTGCTCGTACATAAATATGGTCCAAGCAAGACTGCACTATTTCTCCCATCCAAATTTCTTTTCGTGTGACAGCCTTGATGCACTGTATAAACCCATACTCGGACAGTAAGTTTTGGAAAGAAATTACATGATTATCTGATTTATTCAACAAGTTAATATTTATGTCGCCACACATAATAGCTTTTAAATCTGTTGGTAATGTTTCTAGCAAATTCCATCAGAATCCGGGATTGCATCAGAAATTCGGTAATCATGTTTGTTTTATTAATTCTTGGAGGTCTATATATAGCCAATATATGAATTAATTCGTTATTAAATTGTAGTGCAATGGAAACACACTCGGCCGACCGCATTCCTGTTACTATGGTCGATTCGCACACTCGCGCGCAGAGTTCTGCACTGCGTATACACCAATACCCCGCCGCCACTGCGACCCGTTCGTGTAAACACACTCAGATTATACCCACTTATTTGGAATAATGACAGTATGGAGTAGTTAATATTAGGTTCTGTTGTGACAATAACATCTAATTGTTTTATACTACTATTCAACACTATTAATAATTTGTTGAAATGCTTTTTTTAAAGATCTGATATTGACATGCATTACACATAAGGTTCTTTTGTTTCCCAATGAATTCAACCAGATATTTGTATCATTTACACAGTTATAATTTACAAGGTTTTCATATATTTCGTCTATACTATTGAAATCTGCGGATTTTATTGATAAGAAATAGACTAGTATGCGTTTTTATAAGATTATGGAATTACGTAAAAGTCTAGGTACATTTTGCGATCTTGCTGTATACTTCATTAAGTTCGCTTTCGCTTCTTACCCATATAGCTTGCTCGCCTTCTTTTTTCTTTACCAGCACTTTACCATTTGTCACCCATACAAAGTGGTATATGCCGCGGTATTTCTTCTTTGCATTCCAAATCAGGCTTTTAGTGGTCTTCGATAAGTCTTCGTTAATGTAAATTTTGTTGGTCATCTGTCCCCCTGTGAGAATATTACTGTTTATGTCTATGAGTGACCGACGCGGCTACGTTTAGATAACCAATTATTCCGAGCTTCAGTTTCTGTTGTTTTGAAACCAACTATAATCGAAGGTGGCTTCGCTCCCGGTTGAGGCGGTCTAATACACGTTACCCAATCAATTTCATTGGTGTTAGCACCTATTTTGTTACCAAGTTTAACTACTAGTACTTTGACAACTTCTCCCGGTATGTATTCAATTCCTTCAATCTCCAGGTTATGTTTGCGGGTAGACTGGTCAAAGTTAACTTAAACCACTACACTATCCGTGCAGTCAATATTATTTTAGATTATTATTATTATTCTTTTCTCTGAATTTTAATTGTAAATATTTAAATTAATTACACTTTTTGTTTACTGAACATTGGAGATAGAATAACAGTCCTATATATCTTCTTTAATTGCCTGACTTATTGATCTATTAGTAAGTGATCTTGACCGCTAAGCTGGAGGCCGTGGGTTCGATTCCCACTCAGGACAACAATTGTGTGATGAGCACGATCATTATTTTGTTCTGTGTGTAGATGTAATTTATCTATAGTATTTATATATTTAGAAATATATAACTATGTTAGCCAGCACTCTGGTTTTCGTAGCACATGCCCTGCCTAGCTTAGGACCAGATGGCGGTGTATGTGTAAAGTTATTTTAATTTAGTCATTATCATTTTATATAATTGTAACATTATTAGTATAATTTTTGAATTACGTCACACTAGAGAATAGCAAAACCTTTTGTTTTGAAGTTAGTTTGCAAGCATGGTTTATTATTTTAACGAAATCTTTTATTTAATAATAATATTTCACACAACGTCATCAAGTTTCAAACTAAGCAGAGCTTGTACTATGAAAGCTAGATTGACTGATAGAATATTATACATAGAAAACACCCAAACTCCAAAATATTACTCTAAATAATTACATAATAATATTTAGTTTTCGAGGACAAAATTTACATTAAAAAAAAAGGAAAAAAATATGCCTTTACGAGTTACTGGTTTTTTTTGTTATGTCAAAACGACAAAAACCGTTCTAAGAACGACAAAAGTCTTATGTTAAATATAAGTTGTTAACCGTTTAAGACATCGTAACACGTACTTATATTTCTTGGTCAGAAATACCCAACGTACTAACCCATAATGCTAATAGTATTGCGAACGGTGATTCACAATTTCATATATAAATGGTATGATTCCAGTTGGGACACATAATTCCATTAACTCCCGCAGTGAGTACACCAATTGGCTCTGGTAAGTAACACTTAAAGAGTTTACGTGTTAAAATTTATTAATTTATGGAAATAATTCGTGATTTCCTTGAATTGTACCAATGGAAATAAAAAAAAAATTGTTTTTTGTCATTATAATGAAAATGGAATAGTGTCGAAAATTTGACACATGGAGTGAATTGAGAAGTTATTTGAGATCTTAAGTAGTCTAGTTTTAAATTAAATTAAACACTTGACCCATTAAAAAACTCATATTTAGCTTCATAGGTCTATGCCACTATCAATTCTGATTCTCTTGTCAGGGGTTCGAACTGTTCGAACTGTTCGGAGTAACCGATCCAATTAGTTCAGAGCAGTATCATCTGTGCTGTATCTGGGTCTAATTTATCTAAATTAATTATCAAACCAGATGTAAACAGTTTGGGAATTCACGACTGTGTAAAAAAATATTATCATTAATGTTGCAAACTGACCCTAAATGGACAGAAGTTATCACTTATATTTAGATTTTCAATAACAAGTAAAGAAAAATAAAAAAAGTAATTTTATAGATAGTATAATATTTTTAACAATGTAATAAATAAAATAGTTGTCTTTAAAGTGAGATCTCTGAAGATACAATTTGAACATTTTAATTTTAACCAAACAACTGTTTTAACATAAATATATTGTTTTGTAAACCATTGTTATAAAACTTTGTATTATTTTTTATCTTTTAGTACACAAAATTAAAAATCACAACCACAACAATGAAGGCATCAATGATAATCCTGGCTTTGACCATCATCGCCTGCGCCGTCATCTCCGCTGATGCAGCTTGCCCCAAGTCCAAGTTCTTCAAAGGTACCTGCAACGCCCTCACCCAGGATTGCCAGTTCCACTGCACCAAACTCGAAGGAGCTAAGAGTGGGCAATGTGTGTACAAGTTTCCATCCTTTAGGTGCACGTGTTGTCGCTGATCAATAATTCGACATAAAAGGATGGTTTTTATTGTAATAAGTCACTCAATTAATAAATATTTTTTTATATAACCGTATTTAAGTCTTTATTTTTTTTCTACTCTGGCTATTTCATAAAAAAAATATTCTTTCACATCTCCGATCGGCTCGAGCCCCTGGCGTTACGTAGAGATGTGGCTTATCTCTGCATTCTCTATCGCATGTATTATGAAGAGAGCTTCGAGGAATTGTTCGGACTAATACCAGCCGCAAGATTCCGCCATCGTTCTCATTCAAAATTTTCATCCTCATCACCTGGATAGTTGGCGCTTCACTACTGTGCGGTTTTCGAGACACTTTTTGCCCCGCACAACAAATCTGTGGAACGGGTTATCGTCTGCGGTATTTCCGGACCGATACGACCTTCAAGAAAAGAGCGTACTCCTTCCGAAAAGGCCGGCAACGCGTTTGTGACTCCTGAGTTGCAGACCTTAATGGGCCGCGATGGTCTGTTTCCATCAGGTGACCCGTCTGCCTGTCTGCCCCCTCTAACATAAAAAAAAAGAAAAAGAATGCTATACACATCACATCATATCAACAGCCTTTAATAGTCCACTGCTGGACATAAGTCTCTCCTTAGAAAGGAGGTTTTGGCCTACTATACCACGCTGGCCAGACGGGTTGGTATAGGGTTTGTGTCAAGCTTTCCTTCTCTCTGCAGTGCTGTTGTTCTGCGTAGTTTTTTCCCTTAGTCGGCTCTTACGACACCCACGGGATGAATAGGGGTGGTGACAATCCGTATTCTTAACCCGTCACCACATGGATGTCCGTCACCACACGAATGCGATGCGACATCAAACAAATCCAATAATATAGTACTTATGTATCTGCATTGCCAACTATTTAACTGGCTCTATCAATAAAGCTTTAAATTTACATACTAACTAGCTGACCCGGCAAACGTTGTATTACAAAACAAAAAAAAATTAGGGATGGGTCACCCTTACCATTTAGGGGTATGAAAAATAGATGTTGGCCGATTCTCAGACTTACCCGATGTGCACACAAAATTTCATGAGAATCGGTCAAGCCGTTTCGGAGGAGTACGGGAACGAACATTGTGACACGAGAATTTTATATAAAACATATCCTATTAAAAGTGGATCTGCATTTAGACTTACAGATGGTACATAATGCCTTCAAATCGGGTTAACTAGTCCTTACCTGAAGAAGCACAGGAGGCTCCCGGGTTGTTCATAGAGCAGAGGAGGCTCCCCTGTTGTTCGTAGGTCACAGGTGTTAAGCAGGTATAAATAATAATAAAATAAATAATTGTACCACGTTCACACAACGCCATCTAGTCCCAAACTAAGCAGAGCTTGTACTATGGCTACTAGACAACTGATATAAATACATATATACCTTTTTTTTTGTAAATACATACTTATTATACATAGAAACACCCAGAACAAATCTAAAATTAAATGTTCATGCACACAAATATTTGACTTGAGCGGGAATCGAACACGCGACCTTTGGAATAGCAGTCCGTTACAAAAACCACTACGCTATTTGGTCGTCGGTATATTTTGCATTTGTAATGTGGGAACACGATGTATTCTCATACAACGTTTGACATTATATAAAAATTGTTATCACATTATTTACTAGCTTTAGTCGCCTCTTCAATTGTAGGACAATCAAAGAGGTTTGCGACAACGCCTCTTTCAACTACTGCAGTCTCAGTGCCTTTCTCCCATCCGAAACCTATGGTTTTCCTTATTCTAGTTATCTCTCTCTATCCATTCTTCTTAGAATAACCTCTCTTTTTTCTTTATCCCGTCTGAAAATATTTACATAGCTAAGGAGAGCTGGAGTCAGGTTGGCGGCCACCTGTAGAAGAAACCAAACCCTTTCACCATGGATAATATTGCACCTAGGCGCCAAAAAAGATTTTCAAAAGGGCAATAAAATCGTGGGTTCGATTCCCAGCCAGGACAAATATTGTATGATGAGCACGGTCATTTGTTCTGTGTCTGGGTGTAAGTATGTATTTAAAAAATATATAAATATGTTTATCAGCAGTCTTGTTACCATGGCACAGGCTCTGCATAGTTTTAGTAGAGAGGATACGCTGGAGAGTCTCGAGCGTGACCCCTGGGGTCGCCCTTATCGTGCGGTGCGTCAAAAGCTCCGCACGTCGGGCCCGCCCTTACGGAGACTCTCCAGCCCAGCTTCCTGCAGGAAGTGGTCGAGGGCCTATTCCCGCAGCGGGCGGAGCACACACCCCCGTCGATGGCTGAATCAGCCGGAGACGACGGGGGCAGCGAGGCTGATTTTCCGCCCGTCAGGGAATCGGAGTTGGGGGCGGCTGTTCTACGGATTCGATCCAAGAACACTGCCCCCGGGCCGGACGGGGTTCCAGCCCGAGTGATGGCATGAGCCCTCGACTACATGTCGGACCACCTCAGGGGGGTGTTGGACGCTAGCCTGGCGTCCGGACGCTTCAATGAGCGCTGGAAATGCGTGAAGCTGGTCCTGCTGCAGAAGCCGGGACGGCCTGCCGATTCGGTCGCGGCCTATAGGCCTATCGTGTTGCTGGACGAGGCGGGTAAACTTTTTGAGAGGGTACTCTCTGCCCGCATCGTCCGGCACCTCTGCGAGGTTGGCCCCGATCTGTCGGACGCCCAATTCGGTTTCCGGGAGGGGCGTTCGACGATCGATGCCGTGATGCGCCTTAGGGCTGTGACCGAGGAGGCCGTGAGCTGCGGCGGAGTGGTGTTGGCGGTGTCCTTGGACATCGCCAAAGCCTTCAATAGTCTGCCATTCAGCTGCATCAGGGAAGCGCTCCGCTACCACGGAGTGCCGGAGTACCTGAGGCGGCTGATGGCAGAATATCTTTAGGAGCGAACCGTCATGTACGAGGACTGAGATGGTGTCTTGAGACGCAGGGGTCTGTCCTAGGACCTCTCCTGTGGAACATCGGGTACGACTGGGCCCTACGAGGGCGTCTCCCCCCCGGTCTGGGTGTCATCTGCTACGCGGATGACACTTTAGTCACGGCCCGTGGGGCTAACTTCCAGGAGGCGGCGCGCCTGGCTGCCACGGGAGTTTCCCAGGTGGTCAGGCGCATTGAGGCGTTGGGATTACGGGTGGCCCTGGATAAGACGGAGACCTTATTAATCCATGGGCCCCGTCGTGGTCCACCCGCCGGCGCCTCAATCGAGGTCGGCTCGGTCCTCGTACCGGTCCGGGCCCAGATGAGGTACCTGGGTCTGGTCCTAGACGGTAGGTGGCTCTTCGACGAGCACTTCCTACAGCTTAGTCCGAAGCTGGTGGACACTGCCTCCGCCCTAGGGCGACTTTTGCCCAATTTGGGCGGGGCCAGTGTTCCCACGAGGCGGCTGTACGCGGGGGTTGTCCGGTCCATGGCGCTTTATGGTGCACCGGTGTGGGTGGCGGCTCTGACCGCAACGAATAGGGCGCGCCTCTGGCGCCCCCAGAGGATATTGGCGGTCAGAGCCATACGCGGATACCGCACGGTGTCCACCGAGGCGGTTTGCGCCTTGGCCGGAACACCCCCATGGGATTTGGCGGCGGAAGTTTATCGGCGAGTGGCTGACTTCCGGGCGGAGAGCGGATTTCGCCTTCCGCCCGAAGACGTACGCGAGTGGCGCGAAGCCGCTCGCCGAGCCACCATGGTCAGATGGTCGTTCCGGCTGGAGAGTCCAGGAGCTGGCTTCGCCGCCATGGAGGCTCTCCAGCCGGTCATCGCCGAGTGGGCAGGGCGGCAGCAAGGGACCCTTTCCTTCCGGCTGAAGCAGGTGCTTTCCGGGCACGGTTGCTTCGGAAAGTACCTGTACTCGGTCGCTAGTAGGGAATCGAGTCCCGCCTGCCACCACTGCGACTGCAGTGAGGACTCGGCCCAGCACACGCTGGCGGTCTGCCCCGCATGGGCGACGCAGCTCCGGGCCCTCACTGCAGTCATTGGAGCGGATCTCTCGCTACCGGCCGTAGTTCGCTCCATGGCCGGTAGCGACAGTGTTTTTACCGCGGTCGCAACCTTCTGCGAGGAGGTAGTCTCGCAGAAGGAGGCGGCGGAGAAGGCCCGGGAGGACGACCTCCACTCGGACCTGATCCGCCGCCGGCGAACCGGGTGGCGGAGGCGCGCTTACCTGCGCCTCATGCCGCCCTGAGTGTGGCCGCGGGTGGACGGGATGGATTCTCCCCTCCACCCGCATTAGTTGGCCAGCCGCGAGGGGGCGGCGTCCGCGTGTGCCGGACGCCGCCTAAAGAGAGGAAATTTCGAGACGGAGCCCGCAACAGGAGCGGGCCGGCGCTGGGAGGGGTCCAGAAGGCGATAACTACCTGGAAGTACCTACCCCTCCTAAACTGGAAGCGCAAAGAGGGCACACCGTGTGGTTTTAGTCGGTTCGAGTCCGACACACCGCCCCGCCGAACGAGAGCCCCGGCGGGGTGACGGTCCGAGGGGATTTCCACACGTAAAAAAAAAAAAAAAAAAAAGGCTCTGCCTAGTTTGGAATTTAAAAAATGATTATGATGATGATTTTTCTTGATTTAATTTGTGCAGAAACAGGTTTTATGTTCCTTTAACAGAAATGGTGGAGCTTACGATATTTGAAAATGCCTGGTGGGCTTTGGCTTAAAGTGTGATTTTGGGAAGTTATATATTTAATATTATTTTAAGCTAATCGGTGTGAGAATCTTTTTATGTGGCAATTCAGGGTTAGCAGTTACTTCTTAGTTCGGTAAGCCTTCTTATATGTAGAAGTTTTAAGATTGCTTTCAAGTTACGAGACCTGGTCTGTAGAGAATTTATTTATTTATTAAGTAACACGAGAATAATGGAATTAGAATATTTTTTTTAATTAACGGCTTTACATTTAATAGAAATGGTACGTGGGAAAACCAATAGGCCTCATTTAGTATTACTTATTAATTACATTTAGTTTAGCTAATGGGAAACTAAAAGCTTCTGTCATTAAATTAAATATGGTTGTAATTATTATCTAATTCCTTAAAAAGGGATTAGTTAAAGCCATATTGTATTTTTAAGCGAGTAATGAGTATTTTAAACTTATTAATAAGTTTTAACTAGTATCTTTTAGGATATTTAGTTAAAGGGTTTAAATTTTAAAAATGTAAGTTTCAAAATGCTATGTTTCATCAACAGCCTATACTAGTCCACTGCTGGACATAGGCCTCTCCTTAGAAAGGAGGTTTTGGCCTACTATGCTATGCTATGTTTGATAATGAGTAATTGTAATTTTTTATGATTTTTGATCATTATTTTGTTGTATGTTGAAGTATATTTGAAAAAAAATGTGTGCTGTATCCGGATCCAGTCGTCTTCGTTCTAACTGACAATCACTACCATCACTACACTACAATATAATTTTAATAAAATATTGATAAAATATATTAATGGTGTTTGTAGTTGCCTAGAACCCACAAGAGAACACTTCTGCAGCATAATCTTAGCTCCAAAGTTTTATAATATGTCGAGATCCGCTGATGGTCATTTTAAGGCTGTTTTGAGTTGACCTAAACCAGTCGGGGAATCCCCGAAATACACAGGAGAGTAAAACGATTTGTCCTTTAAAAAAATCCTTTACATGAATTAGTAATTTTATACACATTTATTTATTTTTTCTTAGATATATTTTGTTTCTTTGTTAGTATACCTCTGTGACTAGTAATTTAGAAACTTACATTTAAGGACTAATATTATTACAAATTAAGCGGAAAGACTACAAACTGCCGGATCAGTTTTTTTTTTCGTTTTTCAGATGAGCAGACGGGTCACCTGATGGAAAGTAACCATCGCCGCACCTGAACGTCTGCAACTCAGGAGTCACAAATGTGTTGCCACCCTTACAGTTTGGCGAATGGAGGCATTGTAAAACACTTTATACCTAAATATGAATGGCTTAATGGTGGGCGAAGCGGCGAGGAGTCCGCTTTGGTCTCCTCGCCGCTTCCTACTACGCTGAGTGTTGTGGGTTCGATCAACACATGAGACAACACTTTGTGTGATCCACAAATTGTTGTTCTGAGTCTGGGTGTCCTTTGTGTCCGTTTCATGTATGTTTGTAAAAAAAAAAAAAAAAAATTATTTAACACAAAAATAGGCCGGAATATAGACATTTTTTACGTTTTTTATTTGGAAATAGGTGCGTGTGTTTTTTAGCAGTTTTGTTTATTACCATAGGATAGGCCACGTGTTAGATGTGTTAAGGTATTATTACTAACACAAAAAATTAAAGAAAAATTAAAAAAAACCCCGACTCACATCTTGGATTTAAAATTTGTCATAGTGTATATTATTCTAGCTCTTTCATTTGATATCCATATTGAGGGAGTTGTGAAAAAAAATATAATCCGCAATTTTGTGGCGGCGGCCATTTTGGACCGATTTTCATCAATCATAGTTCAGAACACTCCTGGCTAATTCACCTTTCAAACAAAAAAAAATAAAAAACGGTTCATCTGTTCGGGAGCTACGATGCCAGAGACAGACATACACCGATATGTCAAATTTACAACACCTCGTCGCTTTTGCGTCGGCGGTTAATTAATTCCAACGAAGCTGCAAGCAAATGCCAGCAAACTACACATTATTAGACCTTAAACCCAAACAAAATGATATGCGCAGTTAACTCCGTTCGCAAAATGAATACTAATTATTTGCTCCAATAAAAATGTTTTGTGATGGTAATCATGTGGGTATTAATATGGTTTTTATTGTGTTCATGTGAATTAATTAATGAAGAGATGCCTTGGTACAGGGGTGATAGGGCAAGTATTATTGATAGTAGAAACATGATGTACAGAGTCATACTATGCCAGAAACATTCTCAGAAAGCCAAGTGCTGAGTGCGAGGCCGAATGCATTTTACCGAGTGAGTTAAGTTACCGAAACCCAAACCCCTTCCCTGATTCTGGAGGGAAGGACTGAAAGGGCGGAAACGCACTTGTATCTCTTGACTTACTGGTGTCTATGGGCAGCGGTATGCACTTACCATCATGCGACCGTCTGGTGGTATGCTTCCCTGTACCATGCGATGCGAAAATAAACGAAGTAGGTGCCATTCCTTTGTAAACTTAGATATTAAGATTTATCGGTTTCAGCTTCTAACATTCTTGATTTCTTTTTTAATTTTAATACAATGAGAACATATGTAGTGCTTGTTAAAACTTTTTATTTTAAATTCAAACTGTTTTCCTTAAGTTTTCTGAAATTACTCCTAATTATTTTAGATTATCGACGTTTCAATTCCAAAACCACTACGCTAATTGTCGGGTCAGGAAAACCAAAAGTAATAACCCATTATGACAATGTCACCATGAACAAACAACAGTGATTCATAGAGTAGGTATATAAGAGGTACTTTCTCAGGAAGAAGACATAACTTGCTTAACTTCCGAAGTGAGCACTCGATTTGACTTTAAACTGGTGAGTTACACGTGTCTCGTAAAAAGATCTCCAAGGATTTTTACATAACAAAAAAAATATTGTTAGAACTTTTTTGTCTGTCATAAAAAAAATGTTATTATACACTTAACATACTTTTCAGAAGAAGCTCATGTATCATTTAAGTTCTTTTTTTTTGCGTACTTATCAATGTTATGTTTATTTCTTTAAAACTGGTTATTTTTACTGTACTAAATAAAATATTTCTGTAATGAAATTATTTTATTATAACTTATTTTCTTTTTAAAATTTAAACAGTATTTAAATATAGTAATTGTTTATTTCACTAAATTAATGTGTGTGTAGTGTCTAAAATATTTTTTGATTTGATTAAAAGAAGTTTGAAGATTTCAATGTTAAAATCATTAATATCCACATTTAAATTCAATATTTTTTATAGTAGTATTCACTGTTGTTTTAGAAATCCAGTTCAAAAAACAACCCTACAACAATGAAGGCATCAATGATAATCCTGGCTTTGACCATCATCGCCTGCGCCGTCATCTCCACTGATGCGGCTTGTCCCAAGTCCAAGTTCTTCAAAGGTACCTGCAACGCCCTCACCCAGGACTGCCAGTTCCACTGCACCAAACTCGAAAGAGCTAAGAGTGGCCAATGTGTGTACAAGTTTCCATCCTTTAGGTGCACGTGTTGTCACTAGTTTTAGATTAGGTAATTATTTCGCAAACCTGTAAATATTTAGTGTAAATCCAATTTGTTGAATAAAAAGGTACCTGTTAAATAAATTATTATTTTATTATTCACTTCTATGCCTTTTTATTATATTATTATATAATTGTTCCGTGTGCTAACGGATTAAAAATACGGAGTGTCAATACTCCTATTCATCCCATAGGTGTTCTAAAAGTCGACCAAACTACGTAGGACAACAGCACTGCAAAGAGAAGAAAAACTTGAAACAAAACCTATGCCAACCCGTCTGGCCAGCGTGGTATAGTAGGCCAAAACCTCCTTTCTAAGGAGAGTTAGTGACCCTGACTGCGAAGCACGAGGTCATGGGTTCTATTCCTACCCAGGACAAATAGTTACATTGTGATGATCGCGATTATTTGTACTATGTCTAGGTATAATTTATACATAATTTGAGTTTACATATATATAAGTATATTTATCAGCAGTCTGGTTTCCATTTTTTTAACGTGTGGAAACCTCGGGCTGTCACCCCACCGTTGTTTGCGGCGGGGTAGTGTCCGAATTAAACCGAGTAAAACCACACGGTATGCCACTCCCCACCTGAGATAGGAGGGGTCCGGGAACAGCTGATATTAAGACATCCGGCAGCAGTCTGGTTACCATAAAATAGGCTCTGTTGCTAAGCCTGAGGTCGTGGGTTCGATTCCTACCCAAGACGAATAATTATGTCACGAGTACAATTATTTTTGTTCTGTGTCTGGGTGTAATTTAATTATAATATGTGTGTATCTAGAAATTATTTAAGTATGTTTATCAGCAGTCCGGTTACCATAGCACAGGCTCTGCTGATTTGGGATTAGATAGCCTTGTGGGGGATGTGTAAGGTTATTATTATAAATTCAAAATAATTTCCGGTAACAAACCTTGATGTGTTATACAACTATTAATAATAATAACACAACTATTATTTTTTTAAGCATATTAATTTCTTTTTTTCAATAGAAGTATAGGGTCTTTTTTTTTGTTGGGACTAATCCCACCCACACGCCCACCACTGTAACTCCTGTACACCAGGATCCACAGCAGTGACCCACGAACACACCGAGTTATGACACTCGGGAAGTCCCAGGAAGAAATTAAACTGTCTTGGAACCCGCAACGAAATTAATCAGAAGAAAATTGGAGGAGTTGGAAATACAGTAAATCCACTTCCCTCCTTAGCAAAGCGGGAGACAAAATGAAGTAAAATGGGCATACACCCTTTTAAACAGGGAAGCACCACGGCCACAAATATTATGGGTCCTACGTGAACTATGTTTGATTTCTATAATATGTATGGCAGAATCGCAATGCAATTCACCCTAGTTGACGCACGGCAATTCACCCTAGTTGACACAAGATCCCCATAGTATACCGCCCCAGATGTCACCTGCAAGCTATTCAGCATTATATTACGTTCATTATACCAAAGCCTACATTCCCAGAGGATATGATGAGCAGACTGTTCATAGTGAGAGTTAGGTGTTGAGCATTGACACAATGGTGACTCGACTAATTTAAATGAATAAAGCTTGCTCTTAAAGTTACCATGACCCGTAAGAAATTGAGCGACACAGTGATCCACCTCAAGCCATATCCTCGACAACCGTTCGCGAACAGATTGAAAGAATTGGTAAAGATGGCTTCCCTTGGATGATTCATCCCAGCGTTGTTGCCATTCGTCAATGAGGTCATTATAGACATCGGGCTGCTGTTGAAGCAATCTTGTAATTTTACCGCGATCCCGCGCGCCCAAATAATCGCATTCCATGTTTTGTTGTCTTGAATAGTACATGGCTGCACGTCTCTGCACCTCGAGATCGACCGGAAGCACACCCGCCAACACCGGCAAAGCCTCAGTGCTAACCGTCCTATATGCCTTACACAAGAATATCAGTGCAAGTCGTTGGCCTTGTAACAGTTTGCGACGGACAGTGCCTACGGTCGCCCTATCGGCCACCATAGCACATAGCACCATAGCACATAGAACCTAAATAAGTAGCTCCGTATATGATCTTTAATGTATTAAATGATAGACCCCATGTCGCAGTTGATATCCTTGTCAATGTACAGAAACTCTTTTTAGACTTTTCATTAACTATTTTAATATGTTCGATAAATGAAAAGTTTCTTTCTAAAACTAATCCTAGGTAACACACTGAGGTTTTATTTTTTATAGTAACATTGTCAAATCTAATGCTTGGCGGTGATTTGAGGTTACCTTTTAAAAGTAGCTGGAAGGTTTTGTTGGGTGCAAAAGTTAAGCGATTACGTTCACCCCATTGAGATATCAAGTTCAAACATCTGTTGGCTGATCTCTCAAGTCCCGTCCTAGTATCAGATTCCACCAGTAATAAGCCGTCATCAGCATACGCGTTCAGAATACATCCGGATGGTATTGGTATCGCAAGAAAATCGTCGAAGCCGATATTCAACAAATATGGACCTAGCACCGATCCCTGAGGACCGATCCCATTATAAGCGCCTTCGACACAGAATGATGACCAAGTCTTAGTTTAGTTGTACCTTGTAAAAAGTACGAAGAGATAAGGGAATAAATATTTTTAAAGCACCCTGGTGATTTTAATTTCAGCAACAGCATGGGCCACCATGCGTTGTCGAAGGCGCCAGATATATCTAAGAAAATAGCCAGCACGTATTGAAATTTTGACTCTGTGACAAACTTTCTAACCGATATAACAGCGTCAGTTGTCGATTTACCCAACGTAAATCCAAATTGTCTATTATGAAATTTGACTCCACCTGGCAGAAGCCGGGGCACTACAAGACGTTCTAAAAGCTTTCCTAACGATGGTAACAATGTGATTGGTCGGTAGGATTTAGGATCATCCGGTGGCTTGTCGCCACTTTTTGGTATTATACGAATATTACCGCACCGCCATATACGAGGAAATATTCCTTCAGCAATGCAACGTTTAAAGACAGTGAAAATCGTGTCACCCGAAAGTTTACAAGCTTCTTTTATCATTTTGTTAGATATTTTATTATCGCCCGAAGCTTTGTTTAGCGGCAAGGATCGAATGATACCGAGAAATTCTAATTCTAAAAGTATAAGGTCTCACATCAACGGTTATAGCATGCTTATGTTGTAATCGTCCGTGTGGTGACAGATTAAGAATACGCATTATAATAGTAATGCTTTCGCATTTATAATAGTATATATTATGTATTATGTATTAAGAAGCAGTACAATGAGCGGTCTTATCGCAGCAAAGTAATACCTAAGTAACACAAACAAACACACAATATAGAGGTATAATATTATTTAAATACTCATATAAAATATATAGTTATTACAGACATAAGTAATGATCCTTGAGAAGTTTCTGAAAAACAATCTATGAAATAATAACGAGATAATATAAGGGGAGCGTCCGTGTAGTGACGGATTAAGAATACGGAGTGTAACCACCCCTATTCATCCCGTGGATGACGTAAGAGCCGACTAAGGGGGCAAACTCTGCAGGACAACAGCATTGCAAAGAGAAGGAAAACTTATACCAACACAAACCGTATACCAACCCAGCGTGGTATAGTAGGCCAAAACCTCCTTTCTAAGGAGAGGCCTATGACCAGTAGTGGACTATTAAAGGCTTTTGATGTGATGATGTAATCGAAGGAAAAACAAAATCGCCTGCATTTATATCGTTCAAATTATTGCAATTGTATTTCTGACAGGTACCTTGACACATATTAAGGCGATATACAATCACATTTTTGTTATTTTCTTTACTATTTTCGTAAATTTTTAATGTTATGAATAATTTTATTTTGATATTAAAAAAAATCCTTCTGTTTAAAAAATAACTCCCGCTCTAAGCATATATCCTATATAGCGGGATACTTGGGTAATACGCAATTTTCCACGCCAACCTGATGTATCGTTTTTTTTTTGGGTCATGATTGTTGAATATAAGACATGGAATTATTTTGATTTTTGTTTCAATGTTCACTCTATTTGTTGTATGTTTTTATGTAATAGGCAACTTGGCATCGACGAAACAGGCTAAAAGACAGAGAAAAACAAAATTAAATAAGCCTACACGGTTTCAGTATCGATTTTATAGAATTCGATCTTTTGCAGATTTGTTATAAATACGAGTATATATTATATTTATTTTGTAATATTTAAGTATGTTTAGTAGCAGCTTTGTTAACGTTGACGTGAAAATCGTAACCCTGTCTAATAATGTTATACTGTACTATTAAATATGTTGTTAGATCGTTACCTTTTATACTAAAAAAGGGTTACATTTACGTTACATGAAAACGAACGGAATAGCAATGCTTCTGTCCATAGAACTAAACACGGGACGAGCGCGAAACACGGCTGGGCAGCGCGTGGCAGCGATGGTCGACGCGTGCCATCGCGAGCTAGCACGTGCCAGCGCTGGACATCGCGAGACTGCACTTGACCACGGTACTATTATAATACAGTATTGTAACTCGGCCGCATGATAGAAATAAATGCCTACAGCCGCGCGGTACGTAAACATGCGTTAGGGCTGCCCGTCTCCAGCATTTTAGTGATGTTTGCCTACTTTCTGTTTCTATTTAGATTTGTGATTGTAAATATCCTTTTTATATAAATAAATGAAATACTTTGTATATTGAATAGGAATTGTTCAATAAAAATGCGTGTTGATTTTTGATTGGTAGATTTAATTAAAAAACATTTTTTTGTTTGAAAAACCAATCGGGCTTATAAATTAGCAACCGAAAAAAATCCTTCTATAAAATAAAATAAATGTGCTTTCTCCATACGCGTTACAAAACTCCAATCCTTAGAAACTCCAACACCTACCACCTACTCAACTAGAATGCAAGAAACAGCTGACGAGTAAGTAACTTTTTATCTCAGCTAATTAACGTCTCTATAAATTACCTAACCTATAACCTACAACTCGCAACAACTCAAAACAAAAATTCTTTGGTCACCAATTAATTAATTATTAAAAAGCTGAACAGCTGACTACGAATGTTTTAAAATCACAACCCTCAAACATCTAAATATTATATATGAGTCTAGCTGTTGTTGTTAATACCGAGAAAATAAAACCAGTTTTTAGTGGTATATGTTGTTATAGTAGCAGCAGAAACACTTTGTGAAAATTTCGAAAACTGTCTAATGACACACAGACGGTAACAAATTTTTTTTAGTATTATTCATACACACAGATAATAAAGATATATTATTAATAATAAAATACCACGTCTTTAAGTAGAATTTTCTTTTTTTTGAATTATGCAAAGTAACAAAACAAACATGCACCGAAGTTTTAACACAAGCGTAAGTAGGTAGGTACCTACCGTATCATGATTCATTCAGAACCGCATGTGACTCCCTATTTCACTCGTCTCAATAACTTTCCGTTACTCTATTTGCTTTATTTATTCATCCAAACACCTTTTTTTTCGTGAGATAAAAGGAAATACTTATCCATTAAAAAGACACACATTATGTACCTACGTACTAGTAAGTAAAATTATTTTATAGTCTTACTTTTCAGAGTTTCCAGGTAATTTAAAAAAACTTATGTCTGGATGCGTTATTGACGAATTCATACAACCAAAAACAGCACAATATTTCCTACTCGTCATATTAACTGATTTTTAGAGAAAAAATCGCGCGGTTATTGTTAAAAAAACAACACGCAGTCCGTTCGACACTGCGGTACAGCCGTGACTGTCTGCGCCCCGAGCGCACCCCGAGATCGAGGCGCGTAGGTATAGCTCCCGTTTCGTCCGTTTGTATGAAGTTGCAGTACTGTATTATAATAGTACCGTGACTTGACGGAGAGAGACCGTGCGGGTCCTCTATGGCCGGTACGAGATTTATCTGATTTACAAAGTAAATAAATACTCTATTCCTAGAGCAATAAAGTTCGATATTCTACAAACAAATATTTCAATTCACGCCTCGCACATCTAGACCTTCTACAACAAAAATGGCAGGGCGTTGATAAAACAAATTACATACTAATTTCAATTCAAGCCCATCCCATTTAAAAACCACCTTTAGTTTGCGATACTCGGTTGGTTTGTTCTTGTCTGATGTGTCTAGTTACATAACAAAAAATACTTTTTTTTTTGGGGAATTTTGCCAAATTTTAATACTTTTAACTTATTTTCAAAGAGGCGCACTCGACTTCCTAAATAGAACGTTCCCACTATAAAATATTATTCAAACTTGTGAAAAGAAAAATGAGAAAGATGATGCTTTATTTGTCACAGTGAGTTCTTGGCGTATGAGCTTCATGTTCATTATATATGCAAGTTCGTGTTAAACGATTGTTACACTCAAAGAAACACAGTAAAATGCTATAGAAAAGCAGGAACAACATTCACGTTACTAGAAAATGAAGTGTTAGGTTACGTACAGAGTAACACATGAATACGTTTCATGTCTTAATCTCATATTTTGTTTGTGGCTTTAGTTCTACTGAAAAAATATTTTACAAGTATTTTTGTTTCTGGTATTTGTTACAAGAGCTATATTAGATAACTACTGGGCTGAGTGTTGTGGGTTCACTCCCCATACGGAACAATTCTTTGTGTGATCCACAAAGTGTTGTTGTGAGTCTGGGTGTTCTTTGTGTTCGTTTCATAAATTTTTGTTACTCCCCACGACACAGGATATATTCATAGTGCGGGCGTTGTCATTTTTTTATTAAATTAACTCAAAATAAATAAATTAAATTTATTTTGAGTTTTTTTTTCATCATCATTAAATTAAATCAAGAATAATAGTATTAACTATACGTTCCTCGCAATAAATCCTTTTATCACAGAAGTCTCATAACCACGTAAAAGACGATAACACCTACTTAAAAAAAAATTGAACATAATAGAATAGGTACGTTAGCGTAGTTTTTTTTTAATTTTGATATCATCAAACAGTTTTTAAACGAAATTTACAATTTCAAAAGGTGACTTCACAAATTATCACAATCTTACTAGGAAAAAACATTTAAAACTTTCCAGACCTACTGCCACAGTTTTAGTAGTTTTAATTTGTTTACGACAAGATAAAAGATACTATCAGTATTTTCTACAAAATAATGATTTCATTAAAATAGCGCCAAAGTGTCAATAGAAAGGGCAGCTACGCTTTTGTTTACAATCTAAATCTAAGAAAGAAGAAACTGATAGACTCATTCACTGACTGATAGATTAACGCTCTATTAAATGTTCCTTAGGTGACGTTACCTACGTCACCTAAGGAACATTTGTGAAAATTTTCGGATAGGTTTTCGGGAGCAGCGTTTGCAAACTCACAGTAAATACGAGGGGTGATCAATAAGTAATGATAATCGAGTATTTCTAGAACGCACAAAAACCCAAATTATTTTTTTTCTGCTTGCTTATATATCCACTACTTCAGCTTCAAAAAAATGTATAAATAGGACACCATTACCGGGAGATACATTCATTTGAATACGAACTGTCGAAGAGAAAACATCAAAATGGAGAAAAATGAAATAAGAGCTGTCATTAAGTACCTCTGCCTGAAAAAAATGTCTACCAAAGACATACACAGCGACTTAGAGGAAACACTGGGGGAGTCTGCTCCTCCATATTCCACAGTCGCACGCTGGGCAAAGGAATTTAAGCTGGGCAGAACCTCCACTGAAGATGAACATCGCGAGGGACGCCCTTCCACGTCCCTTACTGGAGAAAACGTCAAAAAAGTGGAAGATATCGTGTTGGCCGATCGAAGGGTGACCGTAAGGCATGTAGCTGAGGTCACAGGGATCTCCTATGGCAGCGTTCAAAAAATCATTGTCAACAAAATGCATATGAAAAAGGTCTCTGCGCGTTGGGTACCGAGAATGTTAACCGACGAGCAAAAAAAGAAACGAGTCGACATTTCGAGGGTGAATCTTCAAAAGTTCCAGGCCGATAAATAATTTTTTTTGTCGCGTTTTGTGACCATGGACGAGACCTGGATCCACCACTTTGATCCCGAAACCAAACAACAATCAATGACTTGGAAACGAGCTTCCTCACCAACGCCGAAGAAATTCAAAGTGTCAAGTTCAGCGGGAAAGGTTATGGCGTCTGTTTTCTGGGATGCAGAAGGAATTATTATGGTGGAATATTTAGAAAAGGGGGCCACTATAACAGGCTCTTACTACGCAGGCCAAATAAGAAGATTGCGAGAAGCTATTAAGTCAAAAAGACGCGTTAAACTGCGCCCTGGAGTGCTGTTTCACCAAGACAACGCCCCGGCTCACAAAGCTGCAGTTGCGATGGCTGCCATTGAAGAAACAGGGTTCGAACTGCTCGAACACCCTCCCTATTCGCCAGATCTAGCTCCCAGTGACTTCTACCTCTTTCCTCGGCTCAAAGAACACCTCCGGGGCAACAAATTTGAGGACAATAGTGAAGTGATGGCCGCAGTAGAGGCATTTTGGGAGGGTCAAGACAAAGAATTTTTTTCTAAGGGAATCATGGGCTTAGAAAAAAGATACACTAAATATATTAACTTGCAAGGAGACTATGTTGAAAAATAAAATACTTTTTTTAATCTAATAGTTCTGTTTCATATTGATTATCATTACTTATTGATCACCCCTCGTACTCTTTATTAAAAATAATAATTAACGTTGTTACTACGTTGTTGTCACTGATTAATTCGATGTAAAATCGATGGTGATTATTGTAATAAGCAACTCGATTAAAATTTTTAGTGTTTAACAATTTTATTCTGTTCTTCGTTAAAACTTCAAATAAAGTTGAGTACTCCTCATAGAAAGAAGCAAAAGAGCCTTCTGAGCCTTTCAAAGATTTCAGGTGCTGGGTAGATTCAGGGCCAAGGACGCGTAATGGTTGTGACGAGATTCTGCTGAGAGTCTCCTCGTATGCTCCCCTGTACCATGTGATGCGAAAATGAATGGAGAAGGTGCCAATAGTTTGTGAACTTTAGTATTAAGATTGCCCGTGTAGTGACGGATTAAGAATATGGAATGTCACTACCCCAATTCATCCCGTGGGTATCGTAAGAGCCGACTAAGGGCGCAAAACAACGCAGGACACCAGCACTGCAAAAAGAAGGAATACTTGACACAAACCCTATACCAACCCGCCTGGCCAGCGTGGTATAGTAGGCCAAAACCCCCTTACTAAGGAGAGGCCTATGTCCAGCAGTGGACTATTAAAGGCTGTTGATGTGATGGGGTGTGCTATTAAGATTTATCAGTTTCCGCTTCTAACTTTCCTGTCAAAAGAACATTTATTTCACGGAACCACTACGCTAATTGTTGGATCAGCAGAACCAAAAGTAATCACCTATTATGACGATGTTGCTATGGATAAGCAACAGTGATTCATAGATGGGTATATAAAAAATACCTTTTCAGGAAATAGACATAAATTGGTTAACTCCCGAAGTGAGCACACGATTTGGATTTAAACTGGTGAGTTACATGTGTCTCGTAAATAGCTCTTTAAGAATTTTCGCAATAACACAATTTTATTGTTAGAAGTTTTTTGTTTTTTACATGAAAAATATATATGTTTTTACACAACTGAACATGTTAATATATTTTTATTTATATACTTATAAATTTTATATTTTCTTTAAAGTGTATAATTTTATTGTACTAAATTAAGTATTTCTATAAATCATTTCTTTTATTTTTACTGTTTTTAAATATAGTAATTATTTATTGCACTTAATTAAAGTATAGTCTCTGAAATATTTTTTAATTCAATGAAGAAGAAAAAAGTTTGTAGATTTAACTGTTAATTATAGAATTTTTATAATTAACTTCCACTCTTGTTTCAGTAACCCAGAGAAATAAAACAAACCTATAACAATGAAGGCATCAATGATAATCCTGGTTTTGACCATCATCACCTGCGCTGTCATCTCCGCTGATGCTTGTCCCAAATCTAAGTACTTCAAGGGCACCTGTAACGCGCTCACGCGGGACTGCCAGATCCACTGCACCAGACTGGAAGGAGCCAAGAGTGGCCAATGTGTGTACAAGTTCCCGTCCTTTAGGTGCACGTGTTGTCGCTGATCAATGATTGATATCTTTGTAAACCTGTAAATACTTATTGTTATTTTAATTCGTTTAATTAAAAATGCCCGTTTTATAAATAATTAAGTTTTATTCATTTCTAAGCTTTTTCTAAGTGTAGGTGGGCAAGGGAGTAAACATGTCACTTAAGTGACTGCCACTCTTTCAGTCCCAAGATTCACAAGAAGCTGGTTTGGGCTCTGGTAATCTTGCTCAATAATTGAAAAGCAACGCTCCTCACTCAGGAGCCAGGAGTATGTGGTGATTCCACTTAAAACCATCCCGACAGCCGGCCTCAGGTCTCAGGCCCTACTCTGGGAGGACCCGGACCATGTTATTTCAGGTTCTACCTGAACTGACATTATTCCTAATCAGGGCATATACCAAGACGTCCTGAAATCACAGCGGACGAGCCGTCGCGTTTGTTCTAAAGCATGGCTCCTACGGCTTTGCGTCTGTAAAATGATATGACTCATTGCGCAGATATAATTGTATCAATAAAAAATCATGCTACTTGTAGAATTGTTAGATTACTTAAAATTTTATTAAAAAAATATTAACTTTTAAATTACAATAAAAAAATCTACCACTGAATTTTCAAAATAAAAATTATATTATCTTCAATTCTCGTATCATTAATCATATTTGAGCCGAATAAGAAAAAACATAGCATTGATAACAAAACAAACACTGGTAATTCCAAATTTTAATAGCACAGCAGCTCTGTCCTTTCATAAAAAAAATATTTCATACAAGAAAAAAACATAAAATCTACTTCAAACTACTTTAAATCTACTTTATTGCTAAATTAATCATTAGAGGTTTTAAATGGAAAATATACAGTTAGTAAATCTATTTTCAGGTTAATGAGTCAGATGAAACAATTTATAGACAATTATATGTATTTTGTTCTTAGGCCAGTATTATCTTCATAGTTTTGAAGTAAAAAGGCGCATTTAACCAAATACGCCTTTTTTTCTTACAGCATAAAGTACAGGTCTACACACAAATACTTAAACTAAAAGTACTCCAAAAAGCGTTTGACATTTAAAAAGCGCATCTGGACATTTGCGTCTATTCAATTGAGAAAGCAGTATTTTTTTTATACTCAAACGAAACAGTTTTTTGTCATTTTTAAAGAACTAAAAAATAATTATATTTTTATTACTTAGTGTCAAAAACTATTATCATGCCTATAAATTCCTATTTTTATTAATTAATTATTTTATTTTACTCAAAGCAAGCGAATTAATTAAAATATGTTTTTGCTCCATTTTGACTTGTAGTTACATGCGCCTTTTTAACTATCGGGGACAGTATACGAATATGGCATAATTACAGATAATTACAGATAGTATAATATCAGATACAGATATAAAATATAATAACCTACTTTCATATCATATAATGCTATAACTTTTTTATCTACTTTTTGTATTCTTAACTATACACTATCCTGTGTCGCGTGGAACTTTAAAAATATACATGAAACGGACACAAAGAACACCCAGACTCAGAATATGTGGATCACACAAAGTGTCGTCCCCTGTGGGGTTCGAACCCACAACACTCGGCGTAGTAGCGGCGTGGCGACCGCTTAAACCACAACGCCACCCGTGCAGTCATGTAATCATATAATTTTCATTTGCTCTGATAACATTTAGTGTAACTTTCATTGCATATAATTTTCAATTTATATAACGCTCAGATATAAAGTTCAGTTAACCATCTTTATTTTACAAACAGGTAAATATCGGAAAATATCATACTGTTATGGCCTTATCTAATCCAAATGATTCAACAACAACAGAGGGGATTCGTTAACCTAAACTAATCTGACTTTCCCTTTTTTCTTTCTGTGCGGAATCCCCACCGATACCACCCACCGGTGGTTATGTCGGACTCGAACCGACCAAAAACCACGCCGTCTCGGGTAACAGTTGCAGCGGAACCTCACTTTACCTAGATGATTCAGTAACAGTATATATCCAATCTACCGTCCTCCAGCATAAAAGCAAAAAATTTAGTTATAAACAATATTTATGCGTTTTTGCTAACATGAAAATGGCAGGCGTTTAAAATCTAATTATTATTTTGGGCAAAAATATACAAACCTAAGAGGGTGATCTTAAATAATATTAACGTTACTTATAGATTTTGAATATTATAGTATCTGAATATACTATTTGAATATTAGTTCAAATGTGCATGATAGAAGCTGTTCATTAAACCATATAAAATTAGGTTAAATGCAATTATATCAATGCTGCGTTTATCACTGGATTGTTATATTTAAAAAAAGTATCATCAACCGTCATCAGGAGCCTATAATAATCTACTGCCGGACATAGGCATCTCTTTAGAAAGAGTTTTCCTTCTCTGGGCAGTGCTCTCGTCGAAACTAAAATACATTTCAAACTAAAACAATCATTTTCATAAAAAAAATTGTTTGAATTAGTCTGTTGTCTAAACTCTAACGTCATAGATCAACACACACACAATAGCAAAAATTTCTGTTTTGACAAATATTTAGCAAACTAAATAAATACGTATCGAAAATCTATTATATACCTGTGCTTTCCTTATGAGAAGAAAGGAAAAGAAATTCACGGCCACACGTAAAAAGAAATCAAAGAGAAAACAAGATTAAGAATAAAGATCGAATAAAAAAATCGGTTGTTTGTAAAGTCGGTTTACTGACGATAGTTGAACGTGACAACGTCATAAGAAAATACTAATGGAATGGTTGCATTTTTCAAAAGAAAATTTTAATTTTATTTGTTAGACAGATGTCGAACGCTGCCGAACGCGGAGGCCGATTGTGAGAGACTTGCACTTCAAGCCTTAAATGGAACGCCTCAGAGCGAGGTAACGCCGCATGAGTCATGTTTTTTCGTGCGTGCAGCCGGCTCCATCGAATTATAAGACGTTGTCACGTCAAAAAAGTGTAGTGAATTATAAAAATGAAAAAATAAAATAGCTGAAGGATGGCGGTAAACACATCACATTAACAGCCTTTAATAGTCCACTGCTGAACTTAGGCCTCTCCTTAGAAAGGAGGTTTTGGCCTACTATACCACGCTGGCCAGACGGGTTGGTATAGGGTTTGTGTCAAATTTTCCTTCTCTTTGCAGTGCTGTTGTCCTGCGTAGTTTGCTGCCTTAGTCGGATCTTACGACACCCACGGGATGAATAAGGGGGATACACTACGTATTCTTAATCCGTCACCCACGGACATTAGATGTAGTGTCGATTTGATGTAGTTTATTAGAATAGAGTCAATTTTGTTTGAATTATGTCTAATATTTTTTCCTCCTGTCCCTTAGGGTAGTGTAAACAGTACTATTTTATTTAAATTTAACTTTAACAATGGTTCAAAATACCCTAAGAATTTATTTTTGTTTACATATTACATAGTTTACTAACAAGAATGACTAATAAAGTTTATAAATTCACATTAAAGTTTGAATTGGAATTTGAAACTTTTGCCATAATATCATTAAAAGATGAGTGAGGCATGCAATAATTGCTGAATTAATGTTCCAAGTGTGTATTTAACATTAAGGAACCCACGCCCTTTCCAATTACATCATGTAGGGGAATCCTTGTTGATCTGGCGGACAACCAGTACGGTTTCCGTCAGGGGCGCTCCACCGTGGATGCGATCATGCGCGTGAAGGCTCTGGCGGAGGAAGCAGTCTCCCGGGGTGAAGTGGTGTTGGCGGTGTCCTTGGACATCGCCAACGCGTTCAACACTATGCCCTGGAGCTGCATCAGGGAGGCGCTCGTGTATCACGAAGTGCCTCTCTACCTCCGCCGCATAGTCGGGGCATATTTGTCGGAGAGAGCCGTCGTCTACCCCAGTAGGACCGGTCTCGGTAGGCGTGAAATGTCGTGCGGTGTTCCGCAGGGGTCGGTGTTAGGGCTACTCTTGTGGAACATCGGCTACGACTGGGTGCTTCGTGGTACCTTCTTGGATGGTGTCGCCGTCGTGTGCTACGCGGACGACACACTCGTGACGGCGCGCGGCAAGACGCACCACGAGGCAACCCTGAGGGCCACGGCCGGGGTTGCCCAAGTCGTTGAGCGTATCCGGCGGCTGGGTCTCGAGGTGGCTCTGCACAAGTCCGAGGCCCTGTTCTTCCACGGGCTTCGGAGGAAGCCGCCTGAGGGATCTAGCCTCATGGTAGGAGGCATTCGCATCGGCATCGAGCCCTCGATCAGGTATCTGGGGCTCGTACTCGATGGCCGATGGGACTTCGGATATCATTTCCGAGGTCTGGTCCCCAAGTTGGTTGGGGCAGCGCGTGCGTTGGCGCGGCTGCTGCCCAACATGAAGGGACCCGATGACTCCTGCAGGAGACTCTACTCGGGGGTTGTGCGGTCCATGGCCCTTTACGGGTGCCCGGTATGGGCGGGGGCCCTGAAGGGGGTACCGCACGATCTCCTTTGAGGCAGCGAGTCTCCTGGCCGGAACTCCACCGTGGGGCCTGTATCAGTGGCGCAAGGAGGCGCAGGAGTTGGGTCGATTTCCCGAGATTCGAGAAATCGATGACCGGAAATCCCAACTCCGCCAGGTCATCATAGGGGAGTGGAGGGAACGACTCGGGCAACCGAGCGCTGGGCACGCCGTCATTGCGGCGGTAAGACCCGTTATGGAGGATTGGCTCGAGAGGCGTCACGGGACCCTCTCATACCGATTGACGCAGGTGATCACTGGGAAGGGATGTTTCGGAGATCACCTGTGTCTGATCCGCAAGGAGCCAACGCCTGAGTGCCACCACTGCGATGGCCAGACCGTGGACACGGCTCTCCACACGCTGGCAGAGTGCCCGGCGTGGGTTGAGCAGAGGCGAGACCTCGTGGCGGCCATCGGAGTGGGAGTTCTCTCGCTCGATAGCCTGATTGCGGCTATCGTGCGGAGCGAGAGTGCGTGGAACTCTGCCGTCTCCTTCTGCGAGCAAGTTATGCTCGCGAAGGAGACGGCGGAGCGGGACCGG